TTTGCAGGAGATATACACCCCACTGGCGGTCTTCAACTCAACTCAAAGCCCCATATCTCTAACGGTGAGTTATTGAGTCTTGTGTATGACATGGTTGACTGAAGGCGAGACGGCGTACAGCTCAGACGTGAGCCAGTGTGGGCCATGGATTTAGAAGTCTTGTGCTGACCCTTGGAATCATTGCTTTGTTGGGATTCGTTCGGTTGGGCCGTCTGGGCCCATCGCTATGCCGTCTAGCGAGCAAGTCTATCAAGCACATGCAGTGCAGTAGAGTGTGACGGGTCATTGTGCAGTTGAAGTTGCCGGCGAGACTATGTTTGACGGTCTTCACGAGTTGGGCACCACAGCAGCTGTTTTGGCGAGTCTACGGTGGGGGGCTTGTCTTTATGCGCTCAATAACCGCGTATGTGGGCGTCCTGAAATTGGAACCATGACGCCGGCCCATCGCTGACTGCGCCACAGACTGGCAGCAATGGTTCACATCCATAGCCTGAATCGTCGAAATTGTGTCACAAAAAGGTGGCTGCATTTTTTCGGGCGAAGATAGTGTCCGTGCTGAAATTTGATGCCTCGGCACCCTGGGTTGTAGAGGCCGTTGTTTATTCTGGCTACCGAATGTTTTTCTTAAAATTCACCTATGTTCCAAGCCGGCCTGTCCGCCCCAGCCCCGTGTGTCTGCATAAACATAGTTACATGTTTTTTGTTACGTGCGACCGCAAGTGATCGTGCAAACCTGGTAGGTTACATGAGGGCCTTATCCATCAGGGATATAAAAAGTCTATCTGGCGATTCATTGTTCTATCGCCGTATCTTTGGATCTATCTATCTACCGATCTGTCTATGTATCTATACAGTCTACGCAGAAAGAGCTGTTATGGCCCCCAGTAGTTATGCTGGCAGTAGCTTACTGGTTTTCAGCACTTTTCAGACCGAAGTCCCGGACAATCCCTAAATCTCCGAGCAGTCTGCCAGCTTCTTTGGCAAAAAAACTTGTAGAAAAGCAGATAAGCGGCACAAGCCTCTTCTTGCAAGGAGTTTGACATGCTCGGAAGGTAAATGAAATCCCTGAACCCCAAAGCCTTGAAAAACCCTAACCCCTCCCCCCAAAGCAAAGCAAACGGCAGCGAATCAATCAGAACTCCTAAACAACTAAATCCAAAAACAACCCTAAACCTCCTAAACCTCGAACAGGCCCTCATCCCGGGACCTTTGAGCCCTAACCTGGTCAGGGCAGTTCACGGCCTAGCTCAAGACCTCCTGCGCCAAGCCGTGGCCCCAAGACTCCGAGCGTACAAACGGTTCAGGGTTTACAGGTTTAAGCCCTACTGTACCTGGACCCCAAAAGTATGTAGAATAATAGCCTTTTATAGGATTTGGGCCATTATTTTACCTACTTTCGGGGGTCTAGGTATAAGCTCTATACAACTTAAGTCCTACATAAAGCGTGGAATCTTAGCTACTGTGGGCCTGTGGGAGTCTTCGGGATGAACATGGTTTCCCAATGGCGGCCTCCATGCGTAGAGCGGGGTTTTGCGGTACATTGCAGTGTAGTCATAAGATGGATCCCCAAGGCATAGTATTGCTAGTGTGTAGAGTTCCAAAATAATACTGTTTGCAGATTTTCGTTCTTTATGCCTTAGGACCTTAGAATGTAGAGTCGCAGTTTTGGTTTGAGATGCTTTTGTTGAAGGTGTATAGTGTAGTACGTGCTGATTTAAGCAACCAGTTCAAGAATACATCTTGATTATTCGGACATTCTCTGAACTGGCATCTCGCATTTTCAACAACAGGAGGCAGTCCTTGGAAAACTTAGCGACTGTGCATCTCCGCGAAGGAACGTAGCAGGTGACCGTTGTGTTGCACTTTCGCTTTCCTTTGCCTCGCTGTATTGACATGACATGGCTTTCATCTGAGCTTGCATAATATAGGGGCTTCAAAAATTAGAATAGAGTTTTGGGGATTCCTTATTCCATTTAGGGTAGAATATACTCCTAAGTCCTATTCTATTAATGCCTCTATATTGTCTGAGATGTGTACCAGACCGTGGCTCAGAGGTTAGATTTTGTGTTGGGAGGGTTGTGGCGGGCGGCGGGTGACCTGCTGCCTGGTGCTACGGGCCAAAGTTCGCAGCAAAATCTACCTAGATGAGCCTAGAACGTTTGGTTCCATCCTTGGTTCCCTCCCCCGCAAACCCAACAACCTGAATGCACCGGTGGCCTGAATTATGTGAAGGAATTTCGGCCTACAACCGCAAAACGAAGACCCTGTTAAGCAACATTCTGGCACACCCTGGCCCTGAAGTCTACACCCCTCCACCCTGACATCGCCACGCCGAACGACAACCTTCAAAACCCAAGCCTTCGGATAGAGTCTATACCGCAAACCTTAAGTGTATCGAGGTTCAGTACTTCAACAAGTTGTACCCCCTGGCCTACATCCTGTTGCTCCTGGGCCTCGTGTCGGCTGTGGGACGCTCATCGCACTCGCCGGGACGGTTTTGGGGGTCTGGCCTTACTGAGGCCTATAGGAACTGAGGGAGTTCCGAAGAGGCGATAAATCTTGATCGGTATGTAAACCCTAAACCCTGAAACCTAAACCCTAAACCCTTCGTTCGATTGTGGGCCCGAGATGGATTAGAGCTTCGATGCCGGCTGACATAATGACAATATCAAAGATGTTGACGAACGACCATGTTGTTGGCTTAGAGGTTCGGGGGTCAGGGGATGCACGGATGAACAATCATCTTTGATCTCTCTGTTGAATGCAAAGGAATATATGTATACGACAGTTGCACATGAGCTTTTGTGTGACTGCAGCTGTTGGTGTTGCTGAAGGCTGGTTGCTAAAGCATGAGAAGCTGGTTTGAAATGTTACAGTTACAACACGTAGACCTTGAAGTAGACTGTAGACCCTTGAAAGGTAAGCCTTCTTTCTGTAGCTCAGGATCCCAGTTGTGAAATTGTAGGCTGCTTAGGAATCTTGCTGCATGTACGGGTGGCCTGCATTACGCTTCGTATTGACTACTGAGCTTTGGCATGTCGTCATTCCGCTCTGGGAAAAGACGATCTCTGCAGTGCCCAGGTTTGCGAGTGCATGGTGCTGCTCAGTCTGATCTTCGTGCATCACTTCCCCTCCATGCCTGCGCGAGCCCCAATTCCCCAAAAAGCCGCAGTCGGGGATGGTATGGGCATGAACTTCACTGGTGTGTCATAGCGTTTATAGTTTATTGCTTCAGAGATGTCCGTCACTAGCGTTTAAGGCGGGTGTTGATTTTCTGCTCCTAGCCTCTTTTCTCTTTTCTCTTGGCACTCTCGTGGCCTGTGGATGCTCCTGAAGTCTTTCCCCATCTAGTCGCTTCCCCCCATTTATTAACCAACAAAAACCCTAATAAACGCAACAGATAACAACACTTTCCGGGAAATCCACCTGAACTGATCCCTGCCATTTACAGCCCAATTGAATGATAAGGTTCAGGAGCAAGAGCAGAAACAAGAACAAGAGCAGGAGCAGGAGCAACGGCAGGAGCAAGAGAAAGAGTACTAACACGATCCCCAGAAAGTGACAACACCGTGATAAAGTAAACCCAACTTTTCGAGTTTTCTGTGGGGCGGGAATTTAAGGGATCACAGTAGTGGCATTCCACAACTTCCGAGCCGAACATGGGAACCCGAGCTGTGCAGGGGCCCCTTGCATAGAGCTTCGGGGCCCCGAAGGTTTTAAAGCCGTGGCCCTTGAATTGTGCCACTAAAACCCTAAACCCTGAACCCTAAAACCTCTAAAGTCTCGAAGACCTTCGGGCTTTGTAGAAAAGGAGCTCAAAAAAATAAACCTCTAAAGCCTAAACCCTACACCCTGTTACGGTCATGGGCACCTTTGCACCTGAGGTGCTGTGGCAAGTGTACTGTGGGACCTGACCTCAGCCCGGGGGTCCGACATGGCACTTCTAGGGCCTTATTGGGTTTATAGGGGTTTAGGGGTGTAGGGTTTAGGGGGTTATAGGGTTAGGGTATAGGGGTTTTGGGGGGTTCAGGGGTTTAGGGTTTAATGAGGGGTTTAGGGTTGAGGGGTTTAGGGTTTAAGGGTTTAGGGTTTAGGGGTTTAGTGGGTTAGGGTTCCGGAGTTTTAGCTGTGGGTTTTACGGGTTAGGGTTTGGGGTTCAGGGCCCTTGGTTCGTTTCCTTTTGCCAGAATGTTGCGGTCACCGGCTGTGCACAAACATGGTATGAATCCTTTGCCTTCAAGACACATGCGTGAGTTCGCAATTACCCCAGACCTAGACCCTGCCGATCGAAAAGCAAGCCATGGGGTTTCGGGCTTGGGCTCTACAATCCATTCCTGGAGGCTCGGGGATTCTCACCTTGTGATGCTCTTCGCATGTCGACGCGGGCGTTCACACTAAACCGCTACTTCTCAGCACATGAATACTTTGCACGGACATTTTGCAATTGCAAACCCTGCGGCTTCGCCGACGTAATTCCCAAAACGCTCACACTGAGCCGTCAGCCTTCCCAGGAGCCCCGCTGCAAATAGTCAAACTTCCGCCCTAGTCCCTATAGGCTTTATCGTAAAAACCTCATTCCCAGGTCGTCCAAACCTTAAACCTATTCTGAACCTCAACCCCGGCAGCCAGAAATCTCTGCAAAGTTGGCTAAAGCTTGCCGTAAGACACTCACCCTGAAGCATTGATCATTTTTTAGAAAAAAAGACGTCCTACATTCCCCAACGTGGCTCAGAGGACAGTGGGAATTGGCGCGAGCCTGGCGCTGGCGGTATGTTTGGGGCCTCAGCTGGCCTTCAAGGTTAGCGGGTTTTGGTTGAGGCTAGCACGGCGAGGCCGGATTGGGTTCAGGCTTCGAAGGGTTCAAAGTTTAGGGTTTTGGGGTTTATCTCTAGGGCTCTAGGGTTTCTAGCACTTGGTTGTTGATTGCTGAGGGCTTCCATAGCCCAAGTTTCCAGCAGTTTTCGGCATCATGGCGCTTTGCAGCATCGGGATGGCTGTTGCGCGAAGTCTTGGTCTAGGGTTCTAGGTATCGGTTAGAAGCTGCCCCCACCCTGTAATAGTGACTATAAGGATTATCTTAAGGGCCCTATTATATTCCTGTTATACCACTATTACAGGGTGGGGGCAGCTTCTAAGGTATCGGTGTCCGAGTGGCTTCGTTAACATAGTAGGACATGCACTGCTGGCTAGTCACCCGGCAGCTGTTACTAAGACCAGATGTTGCCGCCCTGCTGACAGTCCAGCCTAGGAGAGAACTAGGCGAGAACATCTATGTGGCTCTGTCGTCGTAGAACGGATGACATGGACAGAAGCATAATCAAAAGATCATTCTCGTCGTAGTCATCTTCATGAGTACCAACATCACTGTCACAACCATTACCAGCATGAACAGCAACAGTGTGATCGTTGTCGTTGCAACTTACAGCCACAGTTCCATAAATATCGCCATTATGAGGGTTATTGCAATTTCCGACAGCAACAGCAACAACAGCAGCAGCAGCAGCATCAGCAACAACAACACCGCAACTGCGAAAGTAACAGCAGCAGCAGCAGCAGCAGCAGCAGCAGCAGCAGCAGCAGCAGGCAAACACCACCAGTAGAAGCACAGCCTATACGCAGCCAGTATGCAGGAGATGTGTTACCTGCGCCCAAAAGGGTGGGTATACGGAACTGCTGCTTACCTTCTGGTAGCAATGCTGAGAACTGGAAGGCTCTAGAGAAGATGTTACTGATTGAAATCTGAGTATCCCAAGCCCCCAAACAGCCTGGCCTCGGCTGCAACACTGCTCTGGCATCCTGCTGTTTCGGGTTGCAAGGAGTAGTGCTGCTCGGTCTGTTCCATGTGTCTTTATCATGTCTTGAACAGGGCTTGGGTGTGTGTAGGGTCCATGGCTGTCGTTTTATTTTGGGCGTTGAGTCCCTGCTACCCAGTCCTGCTGTCTCTCTGGACAAGCAGCAGCCCACGCGTGGAGAAAGAAGAGGCTGGCCCACCGTGCTATACTTGTGTGCCGAAGCTAGGGGACCCTAATATAGTAATTACACTAAATAGTAGGATCCTTATTATCAGGACCCCAAATAAGGTACCCGAATTTTCGGAAACTCCCAAAAGTGTAACAGCGACACAGGACTGCTGCCTTGAGTTTAGGAGTCTTGTGATTCTGTGTACATGGTTCGGATTCCCTGCATCGCTTGCGAGACACACTGGGCGTATGGCTCTTCGCTGGGCGTCCGTATATTCCGAAGTCTTTGGGAAAGGAACAAAATCTATAGAGTAGGGATCCTGCACTGAAGGGAGACCCTCAATGAAGGGGTTGTCCTCTTTGAAACTTTCGTGTTCGGGCACGAAAATATTCAGGGCCAGGATCTGAGAACCGTCCCCTAGAGTCCCTCCATAGCTGTTTTGCCCCAAAGCCCTAACTTGCTAAGGCAGCTACATTCGAGAGGAATTCCGAATTCTGGGGCTCCGGGATCTTTGGATTCATGCTTCGGGCCTGGGCTTGAGTTAGGATATTTGGTTTGGAGACCCTGGGTCCTAATTAGGGTTTAGGGTTTAGGGTTTAGGGTCCTATACTGCTGCACCCGACGATGCTGGGTTTAGGTTTCGGTAGCCTTGCACTAGAACTTGGACACAGGAGGTCAGTGACGCTGCTCTGAGCCCTGCGCGCCGCCGGTCGTCCAAGCAGAAGCCCCATTGGCTGAGGCGAACTTCAGTTGTTGATCGGTTTTGGAGGGAGGTTTTGGGTCATCTAGAACCATTGATTACACTTGCATATCCAGGGGTTTCCTTTCAAGGGTGAGGGAGTGTTCCCCTTTACAGTACAGGGTATTGGGCTCTGGGAGTTCAATAACCGAAGCAAGGCATCACTGCAGCACCTCGCTGGTGCAGGCAGCAGCAGGAGAGGGCGCTGGAGCATTTGAGGGAGCCGCTGCTGCGCTGAGCTGAGGCCGCCGTGGGGTGATCCAATGAACCGCGGTGATAGTGTTGCTGGTGCTGATGAAGCTGATGTTGCCATGATGGATGGTGCAGATTAGTTGCCGGATGATCGTGAACGAGGATCAGCATGGGTGTGTAGTTGGAAGAGCAGAAGGAAGAAGAATTATTTCGATGGTGACAGCTGGATTTCGGCCTTGATGATTTTCCTGAATACTCTCAGTAGCTCGTAGGATCATCACCGCTACACAGAGCTAGTGGCAGCTACTTCAACCCGCGCGTCGATACCTGGACGTTGAAGCCTGCAATTCCAGCCCCCCAAACCCTTGGCCCCTGAAACCCTGAACCCCAAACCCTTAAACCTTGTGAAGCAGGAGAAAAGGAGCGACGAAAAAAAGAAAAACTTAAACCTAAACCCTGAACCATAAGCCCTGGACATGCACCCAGCCGTGCCAGGGCCTTCGGTGGTTCACGGATGAGCTGGGCCAAAGTGCGGCAGAGGGGTGCCAAAGATGCCTTCCGTATACCAAGTCGGCTCTCCTTGTTTTAAGAGGAATAATGATGATGATGATATTGAGCAAACAACGAGAAGAATCATATTGAGACGGGTCAAACATGTATTTAGGTAGTCAGGGTTGCATCAAACTTGGTACTGTACTGCGATGCAGGATGCCATAGTTCAAGGACATGCCAGGCATGGAACAAGTAGTTTTGACAGTGTCTGATATGTAGGAAAGAATGCAAAACCATGCAAAAAGTTACATGCACATACATGTACATTTATGTAAAAGCAGAACCACCAGCAAAAGCATCAGTATAGTAGAAGCAGTTTGCCGTGGCCTCACTTTATCTGTAGCAGCACAAGTAGCCGCAGCGGTAGCTGTAGCAGTAGCAGCAGCAACAACAGGTAGCAGTCGTCAAACCAGTTGCCGTCGTTGTCCATGTGGGTAAATGAGTACTATGAACGGTAGCGCTAGTATTATTGGAAGTCAGCAGTAGTACTAGAACTAGTATTCGTACTAGTACTGGTAGGAGTACTGTTAGGAGTAGCAGTCGCAGTAGCGGGAGCGGCAGCGGCAGCAGCAGCTGCAGTAGTAACGTAACTCTGGTAATAGAAGTATTCAGTTTTGCAGTCGGCTGTTATTATTTGCTTCTAACGAAAAATGACATTACCAGTTCTCGGCATTCAAAACTAAGCAGAAGTAGTGGGAAGACAGTAGTGTCAACTTAAACAAGCTAGTCTTCAAGTCGTGGCTTCTGCTCGAAGCGACGCCGACCTGGTACTGGAGGTTTGCACCATGTGTCATGCACCGAACCCGTTGTCATGTTACAGTCATACTTGTTCTGAAAGCACTATACGTCCATTCATCTCCTAAACCTCAACATGAACGGACGTCCTTCAAATGATTAAGGCATATGCCGTTCATGTTGCAACCCCAAACCCGTCATTCTCCAAATCTGGACTCACCTGTGTTCGCAAGTCCTTCCCAAACCTTTGAAGTGAGATCATCGCACCGGAACCAAAAGCACGTAGCTGATGGTTCAAGGCAGTGCAAAGTTGTGTGGCTCACGGCTGCGGGGCTCATCAAGACTTTTGCGATCTTGGGGGTTTAGAGTGTTTAAGGTCTCGGGTTTGGCTTATTTAGTGCTTGGTGTATGTAGTGTGTTTCGCTTTTTAATTCCCGGCAAACCCGAAAGCCCAGCGTACACCACGCGGGAATCTTTGTCTCCTACTTGAGGTGTGTGCGGGTTTTAGGGCCTCGGGTCCGGCACCTGAACATGCGCGATGCTGCAAGCCAATTCTCTTGGTGTTCTTCTGGTTGGCTCTTTAGACTTTAACGTTTTGGGTTTCTATATAAACTGTAATAAGGAGGCTAAAAGTTTAACTTTTAGGGGCGGTTCAGAAGTCAGCCAAGTTTTCGCGCAATGGATAGGACCAGGACCGCGATAAGTCGAAGGTTTTTGTTGATAAGTTAGACGGTTCTGAGCATTGCATGCGCTGCAACCTGCGTGTTGCAGGCATGTCTTTTCGTGTCAGCATTTAGCTCAAAACACATGCTGCCAATCCGGTGTTTACGAAGTCTACCCAGATTATCCAAACTGGCCTGACCATGCTCTCTGGCAGCATTGAGCCTTTTCCTGGTTATGGCAGCTTCGACCTCAACCCTGAAAAACCTACCTCTTTAGGGCTCCTTATTATGAGTTCCTTATATAAGTCCTTAAAAAGGATAGGTTCTTCATGGTTAAGGGATAGCCTAAGCCGTTGACGCAGAGACTTCCCTGCATGTGTCCTCAGACGCCATGCGGGCTGCTTGGGTGACAGGACGTGCAGAGTGGTCCGGCTTGTGAGTGGTTCAGACGGGTCTTGTTGTAAGTGTTCACACTTTAGCAATGTATGTAACATAGATAACATCTCGGATCTACATAACCATGTGTATATGTACTATACATATGTGTGTATATATATATATATGTACACTGAGTATGTATACAGTGTGTGTATGCATGATGTACACCTGTATGTATGTATGTATGTATGTATGCATGCATGCATGCATGAATGCATATATGTGTACACACACTCAAACAAAGTGTGTGTGTGTGTACACATGCATACGTGTATGTGTATATATATATATGTACATGTAGAGGTACCTCCACAAAACCTCACCTCCATATCAGGATGCATGCACATGTGTCTTGCGACTGCTGACGCTCCGAATATTTGAGCCAAAACAATAGTATGTCATTATGTCTTTTTGGAGTTTTTGCTTGACAGGTTAGGGTTTAGCAAATAGTCTCTGCAGGCCATTAAACCCGTTTCGATATAGCTCAGCAGGTGTCTCTCTACAGCAGCAATGCGGAGCACATGAAAAGAAAAGCTTGAAGGAGTAGATAACTTTGTTGATCAGTTCAGAAGTGACCATGCCATCAACAACAGTGCTGGCCACATTAGCAACAGTGAAAAAGCAAGCCAGAAGAGAGGCACACGCTGCATTCAGCAGCGACTTTGTCTTGGATTGTTTCTTGTAGTGCAATCACTCGGGTAGATGGGTAGGCAATTGAAGGATACCTGTATGTTAAACGTTTCCTGTCCGAAGACGAGTTTAACTTAAACTCAATCCATTGAGAAGTGACAGCGATGTTTGAGTAACAAATTGAAATCTAAGCATGATGCAGTCACAGCCAATCATTCCACTTTCCCAGTTCAGGCGTATAGTCATAGTGGGAGTTTTCTATTGGGGGGTGGGCGCACTTCCGAGTTCGGGTTAGGCTGTGGGTATCTGTGGGTTGTAAGATGGTAATTGCTTTGGTCTGGGATTTGTGGTAGGGCCGTGTATTGAATGAGGATCTGGGTTAGAGCTAGGGTGCTTGCTTTGGCTTGGGTTGTGTTGAGATGGCGGGCTGTAGGATACTGGTTCAGAAATGGTCCGCAAGTATGGGGTGGGGAGGGCGGTCCTGCCAGGATGAGCGATGAACTGGAAGCTAGCTCAGAGTCCCCTCCTCCAGTTCGTGAGAGGATGGATCACGTTGCTTTCCTTGGCGGCCGGCAGTACGGAGGTTCGCAGAGTTTGGGCTTGCTGTAGTTGAAACTTCAGGGCTTGGGGCTTACAGCTCGAGTGCTGCAGTTCCTCTCCGTGATTGCCATCATTTGCTAAGTTAAGTGCCTCTTCTGCTGCTCCATTTTGATGTTCCTGGAGGATTCTTACAACCCTGCTAAACCGCGGCCCAGTGACAAACCCACCACTTGGATTGACCTAAGTGTCTGCGGCGGTACAAAGATGTATGTAAGTGCGCTGGGTGCTGGTTGCCAGGCATCACGACAACCGTGTTTCCTCGTACCTTAGTTTGTTATAGGATTTAACGTGTACTGTAGGGCCTGCTCTGTGTAGATCTAGCAGCTGCCAGGGGCCCAACTGCAAGAAGTACCCGCAGCTGTGCGCTGACACGACGCGACCCCGGTGCTGTCTCGCTAGCCAAATATACTCGGCAAGCACTGTTCTTGTGCAAGTGAGGTTTCCTTTTTGTCCTTTGCCGGGCTGGTTATGGATGGCAGTGTATCGATTGTGATCATGGTGGTGATGATGATGATGACGATGATGATTGCGGCGGTGACGATGCAGACGGCTATGAGTTGGGATGATGATACATAGTCTACATTACATCGCTGCTCTGCAACTCAGGACTTCTTCGTGCATTGGTTGCTATTACGACCCTGCTTGGGAAGGCAGGTCTTGTTGACTATGCTATACTTCGCTCCGTTGCACTACGGTGTTGTTTGCAAGAACTTGTTGATCAACGCAAGTAGGTACGGTGAGCTCCTCTCGCGGTGGCAATCAGGGTAGTGCTGAGGTCCGGGTACGTTGTGGTTCTCGATGCCGGGAGCACTGGCACTAGAGTGCATGCCGGCATCTCAGTCGAAGCTGCACAAGTCCGCCATGTGGCAAACTTGCCGTTGTCTTCTCTGCCTTGTGAGAAGAGAGGGGCCTACCTTTTCTGACACCCTTGACGAAGATTATGTAACCAGCAGCTGCACGTCTGGCCGAACTTGACACGGGGTGATGACTCCCTGGTTTAGCCAGGTATTCAACTACGAGTATCGCCGGCTCGAGCCGCGGCGCTTTCCTCTCATCGTCAGTCCTCCGTTGACACTGCCATCAGGCTCTGGGGCGGTTTTAGACCACCGTAGGGTTCCTCTTGGGGGGCTTGCCGGCCCATCGTCCAGAGTGCTTTGCAGTCACTCAACTTCGAAGCATCCCGCCATTGCTAGCGGTAGTGTGTTGATAGTCGTCCATGCACCTGCCAGCACGAATCCCTAAACCATATAGTCCTACGTTCTGAAATCGATAAGTCTTGCGCAGAAACGTGGAGTCTGATCCCGGTAAGCCTGTATGAAGCGCGCGTTAAGATAGGGCTCTTGTGAGTGTATCAGTGTGTGTAATTACCGCTTCTTGTGCAAGTTGGGGAGCGCATGTATTTGGTTTCATCATGGGATATACCGGTGATTGATAGACGAGCCTACGTAGCATCAAGCCTGTGATTGTAGACACTATGTGTTCACGCTCCGCAAGCCCTGCAACCCTGCGTTACGAAATCCGTTGGCCAGAAATCGCTGTGGCTTCGCGGAAGCCGGGTCTTTCCTCCATGGTTGACGATGCAGCCGCCATCACAAGGCTGGGTTCAGGGCGGGTCCTCTGGCTCTAACCCTATAATCATTTCAGGATCTGACTGATTCGAGGACAGCGTTATTATGCTTTATCTCCGACTCTTGATTTGATGAAGTGTGATGACGCGCTTCAGTATGAAGTCTCCCGTGCGTAATCTCTGTATTTGATTGTTTGGGTGACCCGCTGTGATGTTGGCAAAAAGCTGTTTGTCAGATCATTCTTGTTTGCTGCATGCTTTTGAGGGCCATTCGATGCTTTAGAGGTCAGAGTCTGAGGCTCGGCTTGCATGGATTTGTGATGCCATTGGAAGAGCCTCCCTAAGCCTCAACCACCAGTTTGGCAGCCGACCCACTATATTCCCCCATCTTCTGCGAAACTGTGGCGGATTCTGTCAGCCCCCTCCAGCCTGCTGCCGTCTCAAGCTCTGCTTGTGGCTTCGTCGACTCTGATGGGATGACATGAAGAGTTGCACTTCCAGATTTTTCTCGACTTCTGAAATTATTGGGCTTCTAGTTGCCTCTTCCTGGTCTTCTCCTGGAATTTTCCTGGCCTCTTCCGAGTGCCTTCCGGGTTTTGTCCTGCAAGGCTCTAGCTTTAGGTATCAGGGCCTTAGCAGCCACCAGTCACCAGTCAGTCAAACAGCCAGTCAGGAAGTCAGTCAGTCCATCAGTCAATCAATCAATCAATCAATCAATCTTTCCATGAAGCAATCACTCAAAACAAACAGTAAATCAATCCATGAGTCACTCAATCAATCAGTGAGCGCAAACAAAGCAGCAATTAACCAATGAATCAATGATGCCATCAATCAACCAGTCAATCAGCCAATATGTCAGTCAAAAATCAAGAAAGCAGTTCATTAGTTATGTATATATATATACACATGTCTGTATTCATAATATATCCATCGTCTATGTCTGTATCCGTATCTATGTGTACTACATATATATATATATATATATATGTATATACGTGTATAGATACATACATATATACATATACATATATATATATAATATGTAGACAAATGTCTGTATGTATTTATACATATGTATGTATGCATGTGCGTGTGTTTGTATATATATATATACATATATATATATACAATGTGGATATAGGATTATACATTGTATGTGTGTATACTTTGTAAATCTATGTGTGTGTATGTATATATATATATATATACATATATACATATATATATATATATATATGCATCTATACATCTACACATCTGTGGCTGTCTCTTTCTGAAAATATACAACATACAGTTACATATTTATGCGTATATACACGTGTGTGTACAAATATATATATATATATATATATATATATATATATATATATATATGTACATATGTTTGCACGCGTACACACGTCTCGCTCTCCGTCTCTCTGACTATGTACATATACATATACATGTACATATATACACACACACATACATCTCTACGTAGATTATATATGTATATTCATATGTGCAAATACATTTAAAGCACATCACAGACGAAGCTTCGTTTGTTGCTTTTGATGTCTTGCTCTGCTGCAGGCAACTGAGTGAACTGACGCAGTTTGCTGCCGATGATGCTCAGCAGCAATTGGCATGTCTGTCTGAGGGTGCCGATTTTGGAAGCTTGGTGGAAGTGGTGATGATGATGATAATGACGGTCGCGATGACGATGCTGGTAACCATGATGGCTGAGGGTCGTGATGCTGAGCGTGCTGAGGCTGCCAATGATGATTTTGGAGACGCACGTCTTGATGCTGCTGGTTTCGGTATTGGTGACCGCAAGAAGCGACTCGTAAGCTTTCCTGGGAGTGAGCGATGTCTTCCAAAGTAACCTGGCTTATGTTGTGTGCAGCCATACACTATGTTCAACAGCGACAGCTTCGGTAGGTAAGAGGAGCACAATGGTACGGCTGATGCTCCCCAGGCCTTGACTCTGCATAACCCGCACATCGAGGTCAAGCAGGCTCGGTCTGACAGGAGGGAGGGTGTTTTAAGAGTTTGAGTTGGGGTCGGGCAGTTTTGAAGCTTGTAGTTCAAGGCTTATTTGTTTCCGCTGCCGTGGTGTGTCTGTTTTGGGGCCAGCTTGGTGTCCAGTGAGTTCGGTCGTAGTGTAAGGTTGCAGTTCATGGAAACCCTAAGCCCAAAATCAGTTCATGGCGCTTCAAGATTAGTTTACGTTGTGGCGTTAGGGATTTCAGGGCACAGGGTTCCAGGGATTTTCCGAACCGAGGCCTCAACTCCGTCTGCTTCTTGCTACCTCAGTTCCCTCAATCCCTGCTCTGGCAGCAGCAGTTCCAAATCGATCATACACTATGAAACCCTAAACCCTAAACCCTAAACCCTAGACTATGATGTACTACAGCATGCGAAATCAACACTTCTGATGGTATCATAACAGTACTTATGCCACCGCGAAACCAAGCAACACCCAGCAGAAGCACAACGTATGATGCCCTATGTACTCACATAACAGTATAGTCAGTAGAGAGCGGTGGCCATACAACTATACACTACTACAGCAGCAACACCAACAGCAAAGACAAGCCCAGCGCTATTGGTGGCATAAACATAACCGCCCCTTCTCCTGTTCGAAACAGACTGGCTGCGTGCCTCTGGTTCCATGACCTGCATTGCATATGACACGTTTCAGACGATGTGAGGTCATTCTCATATTCCTTGGACCCTCAACTTCAGTTTGACGTCTGTCGCGGAAGAACCCGACCTTAGGTTTGTGCGTAAACTAAACCGGAAACCCGTAACCATTAATTGGAGTCGGCAGATATCCACGACAAGCTCAACTTCCGAGACGAAGCACTGAACCCTTAAAGGTCAGAACACTTCGATCTTACAGCCTGAAGCTCGAAATCCCGTAGGAGGAAACATACTGTACCTAACACGGAAACAGCGAATCATAGAAGGTTCCCCTCTACCTTGGTGCTACGGCGGGTCTGAGAGAGCTAAAGAACGATCAACGGGACGAGGCCTCGAGATCTTGTTGGGGGGGAGGGGGGCTTAGAATCACCAGTTTCGGCAATGAAGGGTTTAGAGCGGCTTGGCAGGTTATGGAGTGGTGCAGGGATTCGGGCTTTGGGATTGACATGCAAGATTGACAGGTTCTAAAGACCATGGAGTGAGATTAGGATGAGGCCCAATACTACTCCGCAAGGTCGCGAAGGTCCCGTCTTATTTATCATTCTACAAAAATATGCGCCCCCCAAAAAAAACATTCTGATTCCTAAGGCCCTTATATTACCTAGCACGGTGGGCTTTTTCGGGATTGGGGAAAATTCGACGTTGCGACCTAGCTTACGGTCTTGACTGACATTAGGACCAGGGGGCCCTCGGCGAGGAGTGTTCGAAGTTCCCTGTCCATCACTGATTCTAGAACCAGGAGAACCGGAGGTGTTTGTTTTGATATGGGAGCTTCCGAAAATAAGGGACCCTAACATCGTAGCCTAAATAGTAGGATCCTTAGTATAAGGACCCCAAAATAAGGTACCCCTAATTTTCGGAAACTCCCATATGACAAGAAACCCCTCGCGGGTGAAGAACCTGGGACCAAGGTCTTTCTGGCAGAACTGCGTGTTTTTCTGTACGTCGATACCTACCTCGCTGCAGCTGAAAACGAATGCAACGGCAAACACGCTCATGAAAGCAAGGACAAGCGCAATACACATATCAAGAACTTGCGATCAAGTCGAAGTAGCAAAGGTCCTCCTCCTCCTCCTCCTCTTCCTTGTCTTCGCAGTCGTCGTTGTTGTAGCTCAAACTTTCCCATCGCCAGCTTCCAGAAAGCTGGAAGCCCTCACAAAGGCTACCACGAGACTCCTGTGTCCCGGGGAGCCCGCGACCTTTCCCAGGTGATGAAGGCAGCTCGGGAGTACTTGAGGAAGCAGGACGACGACCTTCGATTCAAGAGGGCCCGGGGTTCGCTGCCAGGCTCCCCTGGAGCCCCTTAAGAGTTACCTATGCTAGTTTGGGGGTTCCCCTTATTATACTGGTTTGGGGGTTCCTTGTTATACTAGTTTGGGGTGTTCCTCATGATAGGTATAGTATACTATAACCCAAAACCCTATTCTAATGAATAAGGCGTTACGACTGCAAGCAGCCTTGCCACCCCTGCCATAGGCTGCAAGCTTGAAAAGGAGGGACCCTTAAGCAGGACCCCTAGGTATATACCCTTAATATAGCAATTATGTACTCATTTTATATTGATTTCGAGCGTGCGGCTTGAAGCCTCTTACAGCAAGCCAGAAGAAGAGCCTTGCCACGAAAGATGCTCTAAGTACGAATAGCAGGACCGGTTGAATGACAACCCACACGCTTGACCCCAAACCCACGTCGCCTACGACTGCACGCGATCCATCACCTGGCTCCGGATGCAGGACATGTTCGCCGTGACTCGCGATGAGCAGGCAGGAGTGGCAGTTGCAATGTCCCTACTCAGCATTTGGTTTGTGCCATGCCGCCGCGTCCACCCTACATCCCATAATTCTTTGTGTGCAATTTTGGCCCCTCACCTGGCAACTGCCAGGTGCGTGTCTTGTCAGGGGAGGAGGAAGGTGCATTTGGATGGCTGGCATTGAACCAGAAGCAGGCAAGTCTGGTATGCACTGCTCTGGAAGATCAGAGACTAAAGAGCACGGAGCAAATTTCGCAGAATAACATAGGGGCCTTAATCATTTCCTATACATCTTTTGGGTGGTCCTTATTATATTTATAGTGTCATCCTGCAAATTCAAGCGCCGCCTGTTTGTCAGGATGTTGTGTGTGTGACTTGTGAGTAATTTAAAGCCCACCCATGAGCCGTCAAGGCTGCGGAGACCCTGAAGTCCAAACCCTAAACACCCAGACCCTGTTCTTCCAGAAGCCCTTAACTCAAAACGCTGTACCCTCAGCCCCAACCCATCAACCAAACAAACCCTAAACTCGGCGCCAAAAATTCTAGGACGTTGAGTGGTCCCCTTTTCTGCTTTTTTGCATTGTTTCCGAATCGGATAAAACCAACCCCAAAAAATATGTATACTTTTTCCCCAGTGGGTCATTGAACTTGCAAGCCCTAGTTACACCCTCAAGCCAGGCAGAGATCAGCCCGGACCCTGCGACGACCCTCGGTGCTCTCGACTTCGGCGGGGCATCGGTGCAGATCTCCTTCGCCCGGGACCTGTGGCTGCTTTTGTCTGGTCTTTCTTCGAGGGTTTGTAAGGGTTTAGGGCCCTTGTATAGGACCCTAAGTAGTACTGCAGGGTTTTAGGGCTAAGTAGTACTGTAGGATGTTTAAAAGGGTTTGGGGTCAGCAGGGATACTTCTCATTATTAGCAGGACCACCAGAGAGGGCACCTGCCCCCCGCCCGCATACTATAGGTGTCTGATGAAGTGCTGCTGATATCCGATAGTGAGGTCTGGCGAACTTCCGCCACAATCTTGGTGGCAGTCCACCAGAGAGATATCTCTCCATGTCATTGGTACATGTGTACAATACACATATAACCTTCATTCGTACATATACATGCAATGTACACAAGCACACATTGTAGAAATTCGCCTGCCTCCACTTATCAGTTTCTCGATGTTAGTTGTATCCACGTCATGCATGTATCATTGTTTTATTGGGGGCACAGTTGCACTTGTCTTTGGCCATACCCGCATCTTTGAGATGCGTTCAGCGTAGGTACGGCCCCACTCAGTAATAGTTGAATAACATTCATAATATAGATATAGTAGGACCTTATTAATAGTAGCCCTATGATAGACTCTTACTGTATGGGGGCCGTACCTAAGGTTCAGCCCAAAATCCTAAACCCCAAACCTAAACCCCCAACCCCAAACCTAAACCCCAAACCTAAACCCTAAACCCCAAGAAGAGCTGCGGCGAGGTCCCCCAGGAGACTTCGATCCTGGCCAACCTCTTCCCCATGCACTTTGGTGGAAGCGTGCGCGGGCCGATTCACCTTTACTCCCACAGGCACGGTTTAGGGTTTAGGGTGGGACTCTCTTTCGGATCTGCTACTTGTAGCAGGCTAGTTTTGACAGCTTTTGTCCCTGTTCCCGTCCCCCAAAAAGAAAACGGCGCGATTATAAGGAAGTAGCCCAAACGGGACCTCTCCCAGCAGCAAGCCGTGAGACAATGGCATGCTTGTGGATTTGATATCCGGCCCTGAGTTTCATCCGACTTATGGGCATGAGGGTTTAAAGGGAACTCCAGAAAGTTGGAATATGGATTAATGGTAGGATCCCCAATAGTTTACCTTAAAGGGTTTAGGATAATGATATTCCAACTTTCTGGCTTTTACTGTAGGGTTTAGGCATAAGATCACTTTGCTGAGTCTCTCCCGCCTCGCAACGCCGCTTGCTGGTTTCGAGACGCACTTGGGTACATAGGGTTAATCGGATAATCAAAGCTTTTCCAAACCTTCACAGAAGCATCAACCAACGAGCAAAGCAGAATGCTGAACTCAGCACCAATGTAATTTCCCGCCATGCTAGATTGGATACAAATCTTGCAGAGGCTAAGACTACGTAAAGTGTGCAAGTGCTAGTTGAACCTGTCTTGTCAGCTTCAATGGCTTTGGCAACGTCATCGCGTTCCAGCGCGCCACCACGGTCCTCTTGTCGCGTGCTCAGCACGCATGGGTCTTCAGCCAGCCCAGTTCGCTGCGGGTCCAGGCTCCGGTTTCTACAGACCCGACCTTTTTGAATAGAGTGGGATCGTGACACGTGGGTCAGATGTTAAGAACCCTCCATCGAGCCCTTGAATCAGCAGTCAGCCATGCTTGCCTGGCTGTCTGGCTCATGTCTGGTGTATCTTAAACCCTATAAAGCTTCAAATCCTATGCAAAGCTGACGCAACCCTGAAACCCGAAACCTGCCAAACCCTAGGGTTTAGGGATGTTTAAGGTCTAGGGGGCCGCAAGGGCTTTCCAAACAGGTCCATGGGAAAGAAGTTGCGACCCGGCACGGAGCAGGCTCGGAATTCGGGGAGCACAAGCTCTGCTTGAAGGTTCATGGGTAGTTATAAGTAAGATAACTATAGTTACAACCCCTATTAAGGGACTCATAGGCCATTTATAACTACCCCTGAACCTCTGAGGGGATGTGAGGGTCCAGGGTTTCTCTCCAACCAGCTGCCACTGGCCGCCACCAGGAAATCCTTAAAGGGTTTAGGGTTTAGGCTTTAGACTCTAGGGTTTAGGGTTTAAGGAAGTCAAGATCTTCAATATTACTGTTACTCAGTTTATAAGAAATTACAGTATCATAGACCCAGAACCCTATTCTAACGATTCATGCCCCTGTGCTAGACACCCTGCAACTCTACTCTACAGCTTCGGCGCACTATCATGTAAATCGGTGGGCACCGACTCATGATTCACGGGAATGGCGAACCAGGAACTCCACTTCTTAATGTGCTGCATTGCTCCTCGTGCTTGCCTTTTTGAGGCTTCGGGTTCAGGTTTCCTATTCTCACAAGCTTGACCCACAAAAAACCCACGACCCTGCCTAGCCCCTAACCCTACACCCGAGAGCCCATAGAACGCCCTAAAGCCACAAACCCTAAAGACAATAAGCCCTAAGCCCTCAAAGGTTGATGCCCTGGGTGGAGGTTCATGGGTAGCTATAGCCGGGGGGTATACGTCTTGTGATTGTGGGTCATAACTAGAGGTATCCCACTTATAGACTATACCTGGACCCTCAAAGTATGTTGAATAGTAGCCTTTTACGGGTGCTGGGCCATTATTTTACCTAGATATTTACAACTAGCCATGAACCTCCAAGTGCAGTGCGGCTTGACTTAGCTTAGGGCTTAGGGTGGTGTTGGCATCCTACTTACAAGCCCTACTGGACCTACGTATAGCTTATCATGAACCTCCCACTCAGTTTAGGGTTTAGGGCTTCATAAGTAATATAGGTATACACTAGTTATAACTTACCATGAACACTAAAGGTATTGGGGAACAAAGAATCTTTCCCCAATACTGTCTGGTGCTTGGTAGCGAATGGGGGAATGGGTCATGGGGACTATCAGTGGGATTTCGTAGGGACTACTATGTATAAATAAGGATCCATGCCCCCATCTCCCAATACTGGCCCTATACTCTCCATACCCAAACCCCTAACTCCTAACCGCTAAACCCTAAACCCAAACTGAAAGCTGAACTGAGAGGCAGATGTAAGCTCCCTTCGTAGGCCAGGGATTTTTCATTTGAGTGCACATCCCAGAAGGGGATGGACCGTCGTGCGAGCGAAGGGCCACTTGCACTTAAAAAAAAGCAAGCCCCTCAGCCCACAGGGCCTTCCAACCAACTTCACGGGCAGGAGGAAAAGAGGGTTCAAAAACAAAAAACTTAAACCTCCCAATACCCCCCATACCCAAACCCCAAACCCCTAAACCCTAAACCCTAAATCCAAACCCCTAAACCCTAAACCCCCTAAACCCCCTAAACCCAAACCCCTAAGTGGGTCAGGAGGTTCGCCATCCCTGCATGCCCGAGGGCCTGGAGTGGGCGGCCCGGTCCTCGGAGGACTTCTGCACACTTTGGCTTTGGGCTTCAGGGTAGGGGTTTAGGGGCTTAGGGTTTAGGGTTTAGGGGTTTGGGGGTTTAGGGTTTAGAGGTTTTGGGCTTCAGGGTTTAGGGTTTAGGGGTTTAGGGTTTAGGGTTCAGGGTTTTTAGGTCTTAGGGCTTTAGGGTTTGAGGGTTTAGGTTCAGGGCTTTAGGGTTTAAGGGTTTTGTGCCTGAAGGCTAAAAAAAGCACTCTTCGATGTGTACTCTGCTGTGTTGTTTGGGCTTGAGCGTGTAACCGGCCCTCTTCGGTTTAAAAACCCTGCTTCTGCACGTGGTTTGGTGCTTTGGGGCTTTCGTGTTTTGCAGAACCCCCTGTGGTTTTGGAAAGACCCCCTTCTGCACATTTTGGGCTTGGTGGTTTTAGGGTGGTTTTAGGTTCTATAGTTACAGGTTCAGAGTTTTGGGGCTTAAGGGTTGAAGCCTGTTCCTGGGTCGAGAGTTGGTGAAGCTGAAGTGGCGCCCTGCTGCTCTGCTTCCCCCCTGACTCTGCTCCTGACTTTGGAGGTTCATGGTTAGTTATAAGTAGGGTTATAAGTAGGATAACTGCAGTTATAACCCACATCAAGGGACTTATATCCCCACTTATAACTACCCATGAACCTCCAAGTGTCCTCGCCCCGCCCCCTCGCTTGAGCCTGGAGCTCTAACAGGTTGACTACGATGAGTTTGGCGCGACTCGGCTGAACAAGGCTTTGCCTTCAACATCGGAAGTCTTCCCGCTTTGGAGCAGCTTTCGATGTGAACAGAAGTCGTTTTCAGTAGCCAAAGTGTACTCTGAAGCTGGCGTGCCACGTCCTCATGCAGGCAACAGGCAGCGACGAACCCGGACAGTAATTGCAAGAGAACCTCTAGCTGAGACCAATCCCGAATCTCTGGCACAGGATAAAACCAGAAAGTCACTGAGCCCTCGAAGCCCGAAGCCCATCGCAGACCGTACAAGCAAAAGACACCAAAAACAGTTGTAGAAGCATAGGCAGGAATCCCTGAAACATGGATGCCGTAAGCCTAACTAGCCTTGAGGTGAGCATCAACAGCACCAATCCGGAGCGGAAATACGGCCCCTTGAAGTGCTGGCCTCGGCTGTCTGTACCTTAATTATGGGGCTGGAAGTAAGTATGAGTATACCCGAATAATAACCGTGGTGACTAAGACCCATGATCCTTTAAGTAGGGGTCTTTAGGCGGTTTTCGATCCAGGGCATCCCTTCGTCCTCAGCTAAGTTCTGAATGTGGCACTGCTGCAGCTGCTACTACCACCACCAGTACCACTACCACTACCACTACCACTACTACGACGACTACTACTACTGCTACTGCTACTGCCTGCTACTACTGCTGCTGCTGCTGCTACTACTACTACTACTACCACTCGATTACAACGAAGACGGCGACAGCTGCTACTCCGCCAAAACAACTACACTTCGATCAAACCTGCGACCGCTACCCTACCGCAGAGGCTGCAATGATAAACAGCAATGAAAGCAGCAGGACGCGGAATGCTACCCCGAAGCCGTAGAAGCCCTAACGTGCTGTACATATCGCATTCCGAACCCCAGCCCTAAAGCCTTTCAGCCTTAAACGCCCACAGCCCCAGCAACAACCCCAATAGTCCCCCAAGAAGACCCCAAAGGCTCGCAACACCCCCAAGAGTTCGCCGCACAAAGGGGCCTGATGAGTCTCCAATGATCTTCCTCAGGCTTCCTTCATATAAGTCATACCAGAAATCACACATGACATGACGTGACATGGCGTGTCATGATATGATATGATATATTATGATCTGGCATGATATGGTTTGATCTGAAATGACTGGTGGTGTATTGGTTGTATGATACGGTATGATTTGATATGTTGTGCTATGCTTTATGATATGATATGGTATGATCTGGTATGATATGCTAAAATATTTTTGTGCAGATGTACTTATGTGTGTATATATATATACACACAAATACACATGTATGTGTATGTATATGTATGTATGTATGTCGATAGGTAGGTAGGTTGGTATGTAATGTATGTGTGTGTACACATATATATATATATATATGTATATATATATATATACATATATATATATACATATATATATATATATGTATATATATATATACATATATATATATATATATATTTTGTGAAGCTCCGGCAGGTTGAGAGGCACAGGGGACTCAGCGGGTTGCCTCAACCTCACACGGCCTCTTTTCAACAGGGTCCGGGCCTTGGCCTTCAGGGTTTCAGGTTTAGGTTTGCCTTCAGGGTTTAGGGTTTAGGGGCTTGGGGGTTTAGGGGTTTAGGGTTTAGGGGTTTAGGGTTTAGGGTTTTGGGGTTTAGGGTTTAGGGTTTAGAGTTGTGAAGGCGTTTAGGGTTTGGGGTGCTTGTCGCCTGAATTCCGAAACCTTTGAGCCAAGGTGTCAGAAGTCAGAAGGATTTCTTGCCAGGCTTTGTAGGTCTGGAGGTGGCCTTGGCGTTCGCCCTTCTCTTGCTGTACTTCCGGTCAAGAGCCCTCGGTTTCCTCAGCTATCTCTTGTGCTGACAGGACGCGCCATGCCTGTTGCCGCCATGTTCCATGATGGGCATCTACCAGCCAGTGAAGAACGGGACAGACCCCGGTGCTTCGCAATTCAGCTTTAGGGAAAGAGGAAGCCCCAAACCGAAACCCATCAACCCAGCAACCTAATGGACCCTAATCCATCCTGAGCCCTGCACCCGAACGGAAGAAGGCCCCAAAGCCGAAAGCAGTTTCGACAGACATGCGCATGCCTGCTGAACAAGATATTGCCGAGATTTTCCGACCGGAAATCTTTTGAAGTGTTCCTTCAGAGGAAATCAATCATGAAATGTCTGGGAGGTCTTGCTCACACCTTGGATTTAAGGCATTGGGTTTAGGCTGTGAATCCTGCGACAGCGTGTGTACCCAGAGAGCCCAAAACCCCTTAATTAAGGAATATGCCTGAAATTCTAAGGGGATTGAAATTCTGGTGGGCTCTCTGGGCCTACGATAGCATGTGTATTTGGAGAGCCGGGCCGAGCTGCTTCAATTGCTGTGCGAAGGAGCAGGTTTGTGCTCTTCGACAAGTTTGACAAGTTTGAGCAGTGGGAAGCTCTGAGCTCAGTGATCAACGACCTGAAGACTAAGTTCTGAATCGTCCGAACATGTCGCGAACCACTATGCTTTCAGAACAAGTCTGGTTGCACTGATTCTGTCCAGTTGCTGTCTATGGGCAATGGCAACACAAACGATCAAGCTTGCTTAAGTATACAATTTGCTATGGTTGCCTCTTCGGGCAGGGGCAGCTACTTACTCGCTCGTCCTCCGCCCCATAACGTTTTCGAGGCATGGCTGTTCCGATTCCCTTTTCCTTCTTTTCAGAGCTTGGCATGATGTTTGGGGTTTCCCTTGGTCACTTCGAAGCCGCCAATAGACTGCGGCAGTAGCAGAAGACGACGAGATAGCCTCAGCAAAAGTTCGGCACCAGCTGTACATGTGCGGCTACGAATATTATTACGACGGCGAGCCGGAGGCTGCTATTGCTCGGGGCATGCTATGAAGTGCACTGCCACCCTTGCAACTCCGGATGAGCCCCTACAGGGCTTCCCACTGCCTCATATCACAGGGACCGGGTTAGTTAGATGTAGCACGTAATATAGGGGCCTGCCTAAATAATAACCAATACTAGTATAATGGGCCCCAGAACCTGTAGGAATGCAGCACTACCCCATGCGCCCGATTTTGAGCTGGACACGCCCAAGTCTGTTGCGCTGCTCCGCCAACCCAAGGTGCTTCCACTGATTCGGCAGGCCATCCGTCGGAGTACAGCAGTCGTAGTCGTGGTGTTGGTGGTGGTGGTGGTGGTGGTGGTGGTGGTGGTGGTAGTAGTAGTAGTAGTTAGTGTAGTAGCCGTAGTAGCAGTAGAAGCAGTAGCAGCAGTAGTCGCAGCAGTCGCAGTAGTAGCAGTAGTTGCAGTTGCAGTCAGCAGTGGTAGCAGTGGTAAAAGTGGCGCGCTGCCACTAAGTAAACCCTAGGGAAAGGTCCCTAGCTCCAAGTAGGCTTGGCTACCCTTACCCCAAAACCCCTAAGCAACCAACCAGCCGGCAAGCAGCGCACGCTGCTTCCTTTTACCGCGCGGCGGGGCGGCGAGTGCAGTGCGGCTCGAGTCAGCAGACTCGGCACTGTACAAAGGGCTCCACGAACAGCAGCTGCCGATGCGACGGCACCCATGTTCGTAGTTCCTTATGCCAATGGCTTTAGGTTAGTCGCTACACAAAGGGCAGAGACGGTCCGGCGAGGAGCGTCCCTTGACTTGGCAAAAGGCAGCTGCGTGTAGAAAGCTAGGAGACAGAGGCAACCGCAAGCATCGTGCTGTGCAGAGGTGCCGGGTCCTAACGGTGAGCACAGCCCTATCCAGCAGTAGTAGCAGTAGTGGTAGTAGTAGCAGTAGCAGTAGCAGTAGCAGTAGCAGTAGCAGTAGCATTAGCATGTAGTAGTGGTAGCAGTAGTAGCACTAGCAGTAGTTGTAGTGGTGGTAGTGGTAGTGGTAGTGGTAGTGGTCGTGGTCGTGGTCGTGGTCGTGGTCGTGGTCGTGGTCGTGGGTCGTGGGTCGTGGGTCGTGGGTCGTGGGTCGTGGGTCGTGGGTCGTGGTCGTGGTCGTGGTCGTGGTCGTGGGTCGCGGTCGCGGTCGTGGTTGTGGTCGTGGTCGTGGTCGTGGTCGTGGTAGTGGTAGTGGTAGTGTAGTAGTAGTTTGTTGTTGTTGTGAGTGGCAGTAGCAGTATCTTCGGTAGCAGCAGTAGCAGTAGCAATAAAAGATGATAGATAATTAGAAGCGGTATTGTAATGTTGTTCTCGATGTTTCTCGCCATTCGCGTTTGGGCAAACAGGTGTTCTGTGACGCTTTACCTCTAATCACTCGAATCAACTAAAGGCTGTGTGGCTGGAAAGCCAGTGCATTGCCCATCTTTTAAGTGCCTGAGCCACACACGCACCGTGAACACAAAAGTCATGGCCCAATGGTGGGCTGAGCAGCCTCCACAACACTCGACTGATTCTTGAGGGCGATATATGCCTTCAATTCCTGGCTACTTGCTGAGGGCTCTTATAGCACCCCAGGGCTTCTTAAGCCATCCTAAACCCAAACCGCGAGAAGCTCAAGCCTTCTGGCCGGTTCCAGGGGCTGCCACTCGTCAAGGCGCTGGAGATCCAGCTGCCACGCCTGTGCTCCCTGCCACTCGAGACGCAGGCTGCTTTGCCGAACCGACGAAGCATCCAAAGTTGTACAGGTTGAAGGCTATATGGCTAATAATGATAACAATATATTAATATTAATAATAAGAAGAATAATATGAATATTAATTCATGAGCAGTCGGCCTATGCTGCGATGGTCCTTGACGGCATCATCGCAGATGTGTCTCGTAGTGTTGTCGATTGCGAAAGCATCCTTTGCTCTTGCTTCGGGACGGGCATGCTCGACCTACTAGCATGAGTCTTGCTTCGCCTTTGCGGGTGTGTTGGTTGGGCTGCTCACGATTGTCGTGCAGCAGGGTTCGTGCTCCGATGGCTGGCAAAGAGACTGAGTGATGCACTCATGGGCGAATGAGTGCTTGAGCAAGTTCGCAGTTATCTTCATGCCGTGCCCATGGTCCCATCCCTTGCTGGTACGTTTACTTGCTGCATGCAACTAGCAGTTCAGGTTGCTACACCCGTTCGCATGCAGCGCCGTGACACAGCTGAACACTAACAAGCAGCTGCTGGTGTATGCTCCTGCAACCGACGCCTTCCTGTCTAAGCAGAAAAGTACTGTAGCGACTGGCGACTATCGCCGCCATGCATTCTAGAACCCTTCTAGTATCCCCTATAGTAACCCTTATAGACCCCTTTAAAGGAACCTCAGGAACCCTATACCAATCTAAAAGAGGTTGAGCTCTTCGCAGACGAGTCGATGAGGCTGCCGCTGGAACGAAGGGAAATGATTCTGAATTGAAAAGCCCCGGTAAGTGATGCCAACTAGCAACGGCGAGCTTTGGCAATCTTTTGGGACAGGGCCAGTAGCACCTCGGCTTTAAGCTGAGCCAGAAATTTTGAGCCGAAGCCTGAATTGAAGTGCTACAGAGGCCTCGCAGACAGACCTCCGTGAGTATGTCAGCCAGTCGGCGATTGCGTACGTGGGACCTTATCCGAAGCTCTGAGACCTTTACACCTTAAACCAAAACTTCTGTGCGCAGCCCTGGGCCTTGTTGACTCAAGCCTGATATAGGGGCCTAAATATCTACCTGTGCCATTTTTTTGGGAGGGCTTTCTTGTTATGACTATAGTATCATGGGCCCCAAAACCCTATTCTAATGATTAAGGCCCCTAAATTGCCCTCACAATAAAGCCTCTCAACCCACAAGGGGGGGGGGGGGTTGAAATGATCACCACCTTATCTAGGAATCCGGAAACCCTAAGACAGGATCCATTTTGGTCGTGCTGAATTTGAGGTTCCCTTTTGTCTGAAACCCTATGCTGTTGAATTTATGTATTCTTTCTCATGGTCAACTTTGGCGAGGATGGCTAATTGGTAGGGTTGAGCGCTCCGCAGAGTATGTCAGGCCGTGCGCAAAAAGGGAATTCTTGCAAATTCGGATCTAAATTAAGTAGTACCCTAAATAGTAGGATCCTTAGTATAAGGACCCCAAAATAAGGTATCCCTATTTTCGGAAACTCCCAAATTCGGTACATCCCAGACACAGGATCCAAACTCCTCACCACTCGATCCTGCGCGCGGTGCTTCTACAGGTTGTGGGGCTTCGGGAGGGATTCCCTTTTCGGCATCTAGGCCCCAGAGTAGGCCCTTGTTCCCTTTTTTAGGGGTTAGGTTCTCTCTATAACCGCCTTTAAAACTTTAACCCGAAAAGGGCACCCTTCTTTTTCCTAGGTTACTCTTGGGTCTAGGCATGGAGCCATCAGCACCACCTTGTTTACGTCTACGTGCCCCCACCCAGACCATCAAATAGATCAAAAAGCATAAACACCCTGGCCTTAGGCATTCCCCCAAAAGGATGCTATTATAAACCAGAGTGGTCTAAGCCCTAAAGAACCCTAGACCCCCCCCCCCCCCAAAAAAAAAACGTATTCATAATACTAACTTTAATACTAGGACCAATGATAATACTATCAATATTCGTAATACAAACTCAGCTGCAAGACTCCCTACATGAAGGCACGGTCCGACGTGCTGGTCTGCCACCTGGCTTTTGGCCATGCTTAGGGCCCGCCGCAACTGGGAGGGTGGAGGGGGGGGGGGTGGAGGGCGGGCTTCCGGGCTTGAGGTTGTGTTGAATGGGTTTTTGCTTAGGGTGTCGGTGAATTGTGAAGGGTGTCAAGATTTAGGACTTGCAGGCTTTTTGAGGCTTGGGAAGTAACGCCGTCTTGGCAAGGATGGAGCTTCATAAGGGATTCTCCGGCTTTGCAGAGGACTCTTTGCAGGATGGGGTACGGTACCCTTCTGATTCTATGGCACTCGTTCTATTCTACACCGCGGCTTCACTTCACGCTTGTCATGCGAGGCATCACACAAACCCAAGCCGCAGCATGCCATTATTATTATCTTTATTAGAAGTATTCATACTACTGTTATTTTTAGCAATTATTACTATTACGGTTATTATCATTAATTCATACCAGATGGTTTTTTATGAGGGTCTAGGGTGGTCTTTACAATCCTTAATCTGAACCCGATCCAGCGTCGGGGTCTCCGGAAGCCTCGACCTTCCCTTGGGAGCCTGAAGCGTGAGCTTAGGGTTTTAGGGGTTTAGGGGTTTGAAGGGCTTAGGGGTTTGTGGGGTTTAGGTGTTTAGGGCTTCGGGTTTTAGGGCTTAGGGGGTTTTTGGGGTTTAGGTGTTTAGGGCTTCGGGTTTTAGGCCTTGCGGTTTTTTGGGGTTTAGGTGTTTAGGGCTTCGGGTTTTAGGGCTTAGGGGGTTTTTGGGTTTAGGTGTTCAGGGCTTCGGGTTTTAGGGCTTAGGGTTTTTTGGGGCAACGGGCCTTAAGCCCTAAACCCTAAGCCCTAAACCCGAAGCCCCGAAAAACCTAAGCCCTAAAACCCTAAACCCCTAAACCCCTACACCTCTAAACCCTAAACCCCTAAATCCCTAAACCTCTAAACCCTAAACCCCTAAACCCTAAACCCTAAGCCTGGCAGGATGGTCTTGGCTTCTCCCCCCACGGCTATCCGCGTGTCGACGTGGTGTGGGAAGCTTACCCCAAGGGTCCAAGTACCCCATAATCATATACTCTCCAAAAGCCTAACCTACATAACTACTATGCTAAAACCGAGTACCGAGTTATTGGGTCCTTTGGACCCGTAGGGTTACCTCCTGTCACCATTCGCAGGGGTAAAAGGCGTTGATAAGTTGCTTACCGTGGTAGCTTAAGCGAAGCACCATCTTCGAGCTGAAGCGGGGCGCTGCGAAATCTCGGCACATCGCTATATAGTGCTCACAAAATTGCGATTTGTATGCAGCCAGTCTTAGTTTGCATGCAGATCCAGTGTTTAGGGTTAGGCATGGAGTCCCAGCTGCCTTCTATCGTAGCTTAGAGTGTGCCCAGGGAAATGTGCAGGCAACTGGGCTTCTGGGTTGCCGCTTCTGAAAAATCTGCCCGAGTTGGAGGCCTCGCTGCTGCGACCACACTTTGGGGCATGCGACTTACGAGGCCGCAGGAAGGACAAAGCAGGGGCTTCGCGGAGTGGTGGCAGCTTGCGCTTCAGGGTTTGGAGGTTGGGGGGGGTTCCAGGTTTAAAGTATGTTGCACGATGAGGTGTAGGAGTTTGAGGTTTAAGTTCAAAGTGCTTAAGAGACGGTGGGCTGTGGGGCTTAAGTTTCCCAGCCATAGAGGTTTGATCTACAGAAGGCTAAAGTGGGTGTTTTGAGTAACTTGCCGGTGCGAAGTTCTCAAGCTCACATCCACGTGCACAACATAGCACAAGGGCCTGTTGCAAGCATATGCATAACACTGTTGATAATATAAATCCTGCATTACCTTAAGGACCCTAAACTATGGGAATTATGGTATGCTCCTTGTTTGAGGTAATACAGGGTTTATATCATCAGCCATATTGACGGCGAAAGCTCGAGATGCTGGTACCGATGGCAGTAGACGAACGAGCAGAGAAACTCCGACCTCTTCCGGGGCCGGCATGAGTATTGATATAGGGGATATACCGGGTACTGTAGGAATAGTTACCAGTATTATAGTAAGGTACCCCAAATATTCTAATGATTCCAATCATGAAGGCTCATATGACCCGATGATATCTCATCCTGATGCGCAGGTGAACTTCTTCCCGTACAAAGTCAGCCGGATGCCTGGGTCATGACGATGCCATGAGATGTTTTTCATCACTGGAATGCAAGCATGTAGACTGCAATGTAGACTCCGTGCATGATTCCGCTATCCGAAATACCCTGCGATGCCGATTTGAATGCCAGTGACAGGCATTCATGAGAAGCTATCCTTGGTAGTGTTCTGCAGTGCCTTTTAAATCGACCTAAGACTCCTTTCAACACTTCGAAATGTGTATATATACATATATATATATATGTATATATATATATATATATATATATATATATATATATATATATATATATATGTATATATATATATATATATATATACCTTCATGGATAGACAGGCTCAGGATATCGGGTGAGACATGTGGAGGCCAGTCGGAACTTTGCATGTTTTCCGAGCATAGGCTCAAGAACGCAGCTGCCCTCGAAGTTTTGCTGAAGCTTTTGTGACCATGGTCGGCTACGCACCTGTGGTCAAGGCCAGGGCAAGGGGCTTCGCTTTTGATGCATGATATTTTATATTATGCTATGCTACAGTATGTTGCTTGTACTATGGCTATAGTACATAGACTAATACTATATATATATTGCCACATCTTGTCTTATGTTCTCGTATCGAATCGTATCTTTTTCTATGCAATGCTATACGAAGCGACACTATACTAGATGAAATATATTATACTAGACTAGGCTACTTACAGTTTAATCGGACCAGGCGCTGAACTCCAAACCCGGAGGCTCAGCCAGAGTTTAGAGTTCAGAGCTTGCATTTTGGCACTACGTACACGCTTAGATCCCGCTTCGAGTGTGGCAAAGACGGCGAAGCACGGCATTGATTTAGGGGCCTAGGCCATTTGAAGGACTACGTTTTCAAAACGGAGCCCCAAAATTTTGGGGTTCCGGTTATTACCATACTAGGAATCATACTGTAGCCCCGGTGATGATGAAGGCCCCAGCCTACAGTACAGAAACGTGGCACGCCGCAATGCCGGCCCGCACCGGAAAAGCTAATCAGACACAGCGTCCCTTTATATTCCGTATATACTTGTACAATACTTATATGTACATATATATGTGTATATATATATATATATATATGTGCACATGTATCGGTAGATATATACTTTCGTACTTATAGTATAACCTAGACCCTCCATCTACCCTCTATTCGACCCTAAATGCCCCTTATTTGCGACCATATACCCCTATTTGAGGGTACAAGGAGGGTCCAGGAAGATCCCCCAAAACCCTATACCCAGAGAGCCCATAAGGAATGTACCTTATATATGGGGGTTCATACTATGATTTAAGCTATATTCCTTAATTAAGGGTTATTGGAGTCTCTGGGTACTAAGAAACGAGCAAGGCCGAGCAGCTGCTGGACTTGGAGCGCGTCGTGGGGCCCATGTGCCTCGAAGCTGTTGGCTAATGTAGGAACCTGATTAAGAAACCCTGGGCCTGTAACCCCCAATGTATTAGGTTTCTGCAGATGCATATAAGGAACCCTGATCACGGCCCAAGGTTTCTTAATCAGGTTCGTACATTAGCACGGTTATGTCATAGAGACCCTTAGGGGGGTAGGGGGGAGGGGGGTACGGGGCCTTAATACCTAGAGTAAGGACTTAATAAGGCTTGTTTAAGTAAGTACAGTCCCCTCCTCCCCTCCCCCTGGTCCCTATGAATATAGGGGCCTAGACACTTACCAATACTGTTTTGGGGGTTCCTTATTGTAATTACAGTGTACTGGACCCGAAACCCAATTCCTATTTTCAAGGCCCTTATACTAGAGCGCCAGATACCTAAGCTGTAGGTTATCACTCGCATTTCGAAAGCTCGGACTCCTCTGCAAAACTAGAGCTCCGGGGAGTCTTACTGTCCTACTAACAAGGAAGGGACTTGGGGCTTGCTACACGGTTTTCGATGAGGCTGCTAGGGTTTCTCACGATTTCTATAGGGCTTTTAGAGCTACCATGGCGCTTCTAGAAGGTTAAATATTATAGGGCTATTACCCTGAATAAGACTTCAGCTCCCCCTAAAGAAAAACCCAGAAAGTTGGAATATGATTATCCTAAACCCTTTATGGTATATTACAAGGTATCCTACCCTGAAACCATATTCCAACTTTCTGGAGTTCCCTATAAGAGGTCGGACTCCTCTTCCGACAGCGACACGGAGCCCACCCGGTGGTATCAGAGGTCCACCTCGTTCTGTTTAGGGTTTAGGGTTTAGGGTTTAGGGTTGTGGTGTTGGCTCAGGTTTTTGGCGTCGGGGATGTATAGTTTCGTTTGGGGACGGTTGCTAGAGTATCGGACCTAGGATTTGAGGGTCGGGGTCGGGGGGGAATAGGGCTGCAGGTCTGTGACGAGCTTTGTGGGTTGAGGAAGGATACCTGCTTGGAGGTACATGGTTAGTTATAAGTAGGGTTATAAGTAGGATAACTATAGTCATAACCCATATTAAAGGGGCTTATAACCCTACTTATGACTACCCATGAACCTCCAAGTACCTATGTTTCGTCAAGTTTGACTTGCGAGTTAGAGTTCCATCAACCAGTTGTGGTTTAGGGATTTGGGCTTCGGGTGCTGAGCGGTTCAGGCCAGGAGGGATATTTGACCCCCATGTTCAGCAGTTTGGGATCACTTGCAGACGGCGTGGTCTTGCGATGCCCTGAACTACCGAATCCCAAAACTCAAAAATCCTTACGAGCCTTTGCGCCTACAAAGCCTGAAGCACCTAAAGGCGAAAATCCTGAACCTTACACTCCGACACCCTCATCGCCCCACTGTGCCACTTGCGGGATCAAAAGAAGTGATAGCTACTCGCGACAAATCTAAAGTAGATCCAACCGCAGCTCAAACTCAGCGAAGTCCCTATAACCTTAACAACTTTACCCTAAACCGTTTTTTACCCTGTAACAGCTCTACAACCCATGTAAACCCTGCAAGCCCTTTAAACGCTATAGTATGTAATCCCTCTAAGCCGTCCATTCCAAACCTTAAACCCTCTAAGAGCCCCATGACCTTAGCATAGCCTTCCTTCCTAACTCCACTGAGACTCTGAGCAGTGCCTTACCCTAAACCCTAAACCACCGAAATCCTATAACCCCAAACTCCTAAACCCCCAAAACCCTATAATGCCAAAGGTCTAAACCCCCAATACCCTACAACGCCAAAGGTCTAAACCCCCAATACCCTACAACGCCAAAATCCTAAACCCCCAAAACCCTGTAACACCAAAACCCAAAACCCACCAAAACTCTATAACCCCAAAATCCTAAACCCCCCAAAACCCTATAACACCAAAATCCTAACCCCCCCCCCCCCAAAAACCCTATAACACCAAAAGTCTGAACCCCCAAAGCCCTACAACCCCAAAATCCTAAACCCCCAAAACCCTATAACTCCACAATCCTAAACCCCCGCCTATAACACCCAAACCCTAAACCTCCAAACAAAGCCGCATAACCCCCAAATCCAAAACCCCCCCAAACCCTAATTATACTGTAACCCCACAATCCTAAACCCCCCAAAACCCTATAACCCCTAAACCCTAAACCCACCGAAATCCTATAACCCCTAAACCCTAAACCCCCAAACAACACCCAAAAACCTAAATCCTATAAACCCCCAAAATCCTAAGCCCCCCAAAACCCTATAAGTCCTATAACCTCACAATCCTAAACCTCCAAGCAAAACCCTAAAGCCTCAAGAGCACAGGATGCTGCGCCCGGTCCTAGCGATCAGCACCCTGGGAGCGATGCTGCTCCTTGCAGGCCCACAGAGGTGTTGATAAGGTGTAGGAGGGATGGCTCATACAGGGATCTAAACAATCACAAGTTTTTTTTGGGGGGGATCACACTTTCATTATGTTATACCACAACCCTATTCTAATTATTAAGGCCCCTCTATTATTGGCTTTATCGAGTTCATAGGGTTTACGGATTAAACCCATATTAGGATGTGGGTTTTATAGGATGTATTAGGCTTACAGAATTGAGAGTTTATGGGATTTATAGGGTTTAGGGCATATAAGGTCTAGCAGGTTTATAGATTTGGGTTTTATGGGGCTTGCAGGGTTTATGGTTTATAGGGGCTGGGGTCAATAGGGTTTAGGGTTTATAAGGTTCAGGGTTTGGAGTGTCTATTTGCAGGGTTTGTAGGGCTTGTAGGGTTTATAGGGCTTCTTGGGTTTATTGGGTTTCGGGATTAGGGTTTAGTGATTTAGAGGATTTGATGGTGGCTGAGAGGGTTCAAAAAGGAGAGGAGAGACCGAAAAGGAGGGTCTAGGGTTCCGGGGCCAGCTCACGGTTTCAGCCCCCCGGGGTTTCAGTGTTTTCGGGTTTCGGGGTTTTGCGGTGTTAGCGCCGTTGGGTTTTTTTCAGCTCAGGAATTTTAGAATTTGAGGGTTTTTGGGCTTTGAGTTCCTCGAGGCTCCCATCCTTGTCTCGAAAAGGATAGGTTCCGAACGTAGCTGCATTTTCTGCAAGGCGGCGGAATGCGGTACATGCGTGGTGTCGCTTGGCAGTGTTGGGTTTAGGGTGTGCCGTGTCGGCGGAACTTGAACCACGTTTCAATTTGAGTTTCGTGGTTTGTATGTTCCGCTTGATCCTACGCCGCGTGCTTTTCTGGTTGTCTTCGATGGACGGAAGAGTCATGATGATAGCCATTTCTATGAGGAACCAAGGACATGCATAAGTTATATGTAATTACTAGTTGTATACTAGGAATATAGTAGGGCCCTAAATATAATCCTTATAGTCACTGTAGTCATTCTTCAAAATTGCCACAAGCATACCCTAAACCCTAAACCCCCTAAACCCCCTAAACCTATGTCCCATAGCCTTGGTCACAACGACAAATCATGAATCAGACTTCCAGTCGGGAACCCCTTCATGTGGGAACCTGATTAAGAAACCTTGGGCCTTTATTAGGGTTCCTTTAAAGGGGATCTATAAGGGTTATGTAGGAACCTGATTAAGAAACCTTGGGTCTTTATTAGGGTTC